GTGTTTTATTTTGTTTCGTGCCAGTCCGTCGCAGGAGACAGGAAAGCAGTTGACCCATCTTGGCTATTCAGTGGCACAAAGCACCAAGTCTTGCAAGAGGAGACACATTTTCCATAGGGCTTGACGCAGGAAAGACCATGGGGTCAAGACCAGGCAGCTTTGCAGCGTGGTGGTTTTCATGCTGATTGCTGTTCCAGATGAATTCAGAAGGGAGAGGCACCTTGTTTTCGTCCAATGTGGGTGCTTCTACAAATCGGGTTGTGAACTTGAGATCGCTCTGAGTTTGACCTTCAATGGTTGTTCCGACTATGATTGGCCACTGGCGGGAGGCCTTTTGAAGGAGCTTCGACAACCGAAGCGAACAAAAACGAGCGGCTCCATCCCCGCATCCAATCTTCCCACAAGTCCTTCCCTACGAGATGCTCACCGGTGTGACTGGCCCCAGTTCACCAGGCCTTGGTTGGAACCTACTTTGCATAGGTGTCCTTTTTGGTGGTCTTGCTAGGAAAATAGATGGGTTGCCCTGGTTTACCTGGTGGTTTCATCATCTACCAGGGAAACCCATCTAATTTCCCCGAAAGGACACCTATGCGACTAAGTTGGTTGAAAACGCAACTTGTCATTTCGTGGCAGCCGACAGAAAGCCTGCCTCTCCCCATGAGAGAGCGAACCACCCTCAACGCCAGTCACCGGCCTGGCTGGTGAACGACACCTTGCTCACCTGCCCGCCGGCCCAGTTTCCTTTTTTGCGTGAATGGAAATGACTCGAATCCGACTTGGCAGTGTTTGGCCGCTTTTGGCCCGGTTTTGGCCGTTTTCTTCTTCTTTTCTTCTCCATCCTTTTGGTGGTCTTGAAGGCGTTCCAGAAGGGTTTGTGATCGGAAAACCTCGTAGGGAAGTATGGGGCTTTTGTCCCGAACATGGGGCAGCCACGTCAGACAGGCTAGATGACATGGAATCATGGATCCCTGATGACATGTCCATACTGTGGATGGACGAAATCCTGCACCACCTAAGAAACCCTGGAATGATTATTCCCCTGTACATACCAAGGCGCAATGGTTTCTCATGGTTTCCAAAGTGGTGCGAAATGGATTTCGTCCATCCACAGTATGGCTCGGCTCCGAGCTTCCTGGGTCTTTTGATTCAACCAGTGGTTGATTCAATTCCGCTTCCCTTGCACCAATCAACATGACTTAAAACTCCAAGAGATAATGCCTACGAGATGCGAACCTCGAGACGATCGACTTGTTGGAGAATTGGAACTACCAACAGGTTGTTTTCTAGCTAACCCAGTCGCAAGTCCCAGCTTGTTTACCCACTCTCCTTTCATCGCTATTGGAGGCATTGCGAAGACAATAACAATTGCCGGACCCTCAAACTACCCTGAAAACAATTGGACATCACCAACCATCATTTGGGGTTGCAATAACACCCCCCCCCCCAATTTTTATGGGTCGGTTTTTGGGGGGTCCTCGTAGCCACATTGCCGACAATTTAACTTTTCCTTCTGGAGGGGGAGACTGGTTAGGGCTTTGGCTTCCTGGGATGCTTGGCTGCCGTGAGTGTCAAACTGCCCATTCCTTTCAGAAGCCGGAATAAAGGGGCAAATCATTTGGGAAATACCTGGTGGGTGATTAATGTCCAGCAGAACCTATCATAGCGGAGCCACAAATAGACTGGCTGTCAGCTTTCCAAGGTTCCACCCAAAGATACCCTTCAGCCGCGAGAATGATCAGCCTTGAAGGTTCGCTTTAGTCGACACGGGTGAATTGGAGTAGACCCCCAACGCATTGTGGAACACTTCTTGCCATACTCTCAATGGGACCTTTGGCAATTTGATTTGAGTTGGACCTCACAGAACATTTGGTGTGTGACCCTTTTGACGCCGCCGCCGCCGCCACCACCACCACACCCAGCGGCTGCCAAGTAGGCACTAAGCACCTTTGTCTTGTCTTCGTCACAATAATAGCTTGTTGAGGCTGTATGTGCAGATCCAACCTGCATCACACCAGCCCTCAATTGGCAAACGCAGCCATCGTGTCAGAAGCCGCTTCCTCGTGACGCGGCCGTTCTTGAATGTGAGGTGGTCCACTAGCCCAGTCAGCCAGCCAGCAGAAATGCTTCCGCAGCCAAAAGCGAGCCTTCGGACAGCACGATTTTGGTCGATATCCCCCCCCCAGCATTTGTGTGCGTGCTTTTTGAGGGTATCCTGTTCAAGCTGGAATAAGGGCAAGCCAAAAAGACACTCACGCATGCGCATATGGATCTGTCAAAATAGCGGTCCCCTAAAATGGTGGGTCTCCTTTTGGCTTCCCGTCCAACTTTGGAGCAACTCGTTTCCGACCATTCTAGGGGTAACTTCCATGTCCATTCTTTCCAGGGATCCGAATCTTTCTAGAGAACCGCCAACAAAGAGCCCTGGGGAAATGGATCTGGTTCTTGAGAAGAACGATGGCTGAAGAAAAAGAATGGAAAAGGAACCAACGTTTCCCATTATGATATATGGCTGTGGGTCAAGACCAATGGTACCATTTGGGGGGTGTTCGGTGAATTCACCACCCATGTTAGGTTGCCTATTTCAGTGGTTGGATTGAATCCGTCCCGTCCACTGGGGGCCATATCCGATTTGGATTTTGCAAAGCCCAGGGCCTCTTTTTCGGCCCCTTGGAGCTGGATCCTGTGCCGGAGGCTCAAGTTGACCCCTTGAGCCACGCGAGCAAGCACGCAAGCAGCCAGCTCTTGATCGGTTGGTTCCGGGCGATTTCCTGGGAACGGCCGCACGAAAAGACCGTGCCGCGCGACTGGCGCGGGGGATCCTTGGTGTTGACCTGAGGTCGAAGCCTGTCATGGTTATGCTATATCATTTCTTCATACATGGCGGTCTGGCTGCAGCATCTTCTTCCGCTGAGCGAAGACTTGATGGACCATTGTCAGAGCCTGCAGAGGATGGTTCAACGTGCAAGTGTGGTGGCAGCGTTCCATGGACAGCAGAATCCGCACTTCCAGCACGTGCTATAGGAGCGATAAACACCGGGCAAGGCCAACCAAGTGGCCTTTTTGGCAAATCTTGCACTACTCAAGGTTCGACAACTGGTCAAGCATGGTGCTTCTTGGGCACTGTAGCTAATGTTTGCTCCGATGAGGTGCGAGACAGCGGCGACACTGCACTGAACCTTTGGGACACGTCAGCTTGGTACTATTCATACAAGGCATGTGAGGGTCATCCCACGGACGGTGCCACGAGGAATTCACTAAGGTCCTCGACAGTCACTCTTGCAGTGATTGTTGCGAATGCGTATCTGCGTCATCATGCGGTGTGAAGGTTTCTCAGGGCCCTCAACATGAGGCTGCTGTCCGAGAGTAAAATCACCGCTGACACAAATGGCCATGGGTCAAAACCCCGTACCCCCAGTGAACATCATCCAATCCCCACTAAAATAGGTTCTAGAATGGGTGGTGCACCTATCCCAAAATGGGATCTCATTGGTTTTGAGCCATGGCCAAACTTGGGTGACAGAGGAATCTTCTGGCAAAAGGCCCTGCCTCAGCGGTTTGTAGAGCCGCTTCCCAAATTCCACGCGCCCGATTTGAAGTGACCCCTCTGGGGCTTGAAGCAACAAGCTGCAACGGGTCAAAAGGTGGATGCTTGGCCTAGCGGCGCATGGTGGGACATGTTGGGGGTTTGGGTTCTGGGGCTTCCAATGGGGCGTCATGGCAGGACGTGCAAGCGGGGTATCGGAGATGCCGAAAGGACGCAATGTCCTTTCAGGCTCCCTGGATGCTGGTTTGCTCCCACTCCGGATCCATTTGGACAAATTAAACATACAACGCGGGGGGTGGGGGGGAGAAACATCGGCTCGCCCCGTTTAAGGTCCCTGTAGGGGATGCGGGTTGCCTCAATTCTGTTTCGTTTTTTCCCCAACGGCTGAACGCTATGGGGTCTCTGCCCAAAATGGGCGCGTTCGGGGCGGGTTGGGGCTGCTTCGAAAGAGATTCGGTTCTGGAGGGTTCTGGGGTGGTTGGGTCCCAAAAACAACTGGGCATATTCTTTTCTTCGCCTTTCTCTCCCTGATAAAACATCCATGAGCCTCTCCAGCACCCGGCCCAACTGCTATTGGACGCCAAGGTTATTTTTGTACGTTGAACACGTTGCAAGTTGGTTGGCTTTGCCCCAGCCCAGCTGCGCTTAGCTTGGCGCTGGCTGAGACCTTTCTCCGTGGTCTCTTGCTGGCGTTTCGGCGATTCGGTGGGAAGGGGCCACTTCTCAGTGTTTCCTTTTTCTCTCCGATGTCTGGTCTTTCCAGTCTTCTTTTTTGCCGATGTCCGCTTCGTGGCTTTCTGTTTTTGCTTTGACAGTGGTGTTTGGTTTGATTCTCAAAGTGAGAAGGGGGTTGGTTTCCCTGTGGCCCAGCACCTTGAGAGCGATGTTTACGGCAAACAGTTACACGGGGGGGCGGTTTTAAAGAAGCGGCACCAGTGAGGTGGCACCAGTTTCCCGGTGATTTTTGCCTGGCTCGGGGGTTTGGGGCCCTTCTGATCCAAGCCACCGGGCTCCGGCGAGGTCGAAAAAGGCCTTGAGGGTTTCGCTCGCTGAGCTGTGCACTGCGAGAGACATGGCTCCCTTTGAACGGAACTCGTCGTGGACTTCCTGGACTTGACCAGGGGTCTGAAGCTTCACAAGGGGAATTTCGCATGAACAACCAGGGGTTCCGCTTGGTAGCTTGCAAACCAACACGAAGCCCACCAGACGAAAGGGGGGCCCTTGAAAAGGAACATGGTCCAAACCAGGAGCCCTCGCTCTGGAAAGGAGGGTCAGTGTCCGATGGTTGTCAGGGCGCCAAAGATCCCACGCGGGGATTCCGCCTGGAAACACCCCTCACTCAGGGTTTCGTAGTGGAAAGGAGGGTCAATTTCCCTTTAAATGGTCCTTTAAGGCAACCCGATCTTTCCCCTTGCCCAAAGAAACCCCGTTTTGCTTTTGAGACCCCAGCTCCCCAATGAGTTGCGCCCACCTTTGAGCCTTTGAGGTGGGGCGCCGCCCAGCGCCTGCATGGCGGGCATGGGGTACAAGGAGCCGAGCCAAGAGGGTGGCGCTTGGGCGTGGGCTATGTCTAAGACGGTCTTCCGCTTCCAAGCCGAAGCTCTGCCAGCTGGGGTTCATGGGGTAGCTTTTCTAGAGGGGGTATATCCCATTAAACCCTGGGGGGTAGTGGTTTGGGGTAGTGGACTATGGGTTTTAATTGGGACATTTTTGGTGGACATGTGCAAGTCCACCAACCAGTTTTGAGGGTCTGAGTCAACCAATCATAGCCATGCATCAACATTTGGTGAGCAGCAAGGGTCCACTTGACCCTAGGTGCTCTGCGCCTTTTGCCACACACACACACACACACACCACGCTCTGACCACCATGCTCTGACCACGAGCGTGTGAGGGGAAACCTTTCATGCTCGAGGCAGCCTTCAACCGAAGACATGTGCTGGCTGGTGTATCATGTTGGTCCCGTTTGAATTGTCCTAAAAGAGCGCCAAAAGTGTCGACACACAGTGCCAGTAATTGGATGAACAAACCACTTGGGCCACAGCGTGCGAGCAACAGGTGGACACTTTGAACCAGAATGTGCATCGCTCGGAATTCTGCCAACACCTGATGCTTTCAGGGAGGGCGGCCTAATGCAGTTGCTTGAGGGCTTGTGGGAGGTCCAGATGGACACAGATTGGCCACGCCATCCGTGTCATTTGAAGTAGCTGGTTTATGAAGGTTGCCGACTGAATCGCGCGTCAACACTGCTCCAAGCTTCAACGGTCAAAACTTGGAGTGGGACCTTTTAAGAGGACTCTACAAGCCTTTCTTTTACTATTGAGTAGCTTTAGTGGGTGTTGCTGTTGTTTCTCCATTCAAGAGGTAGGGCCCTTTTTCCCCAGCCTCCCCCAGCCTCCCCCAGCACATTCCCCCCAGCCTCCTCCACAACTTTCCTCCAGGTGGAGGGCATGGAGCTGCCCGGGGCCGAGTTGATCTCCGAGTTTCGTTGCATCGATCGCTTCCCCCAACTGGGCGGCCCTCGTCAGTTCTCTTTTTCTTTTTCGCGCAAGATAGCTGAACGCTCTAGGGCTTCTACCCTTCTAATACAGAAGGGTCTAGGCTGGTGTATTTTTTTAAAAGAAGGATTTGGACCCCAGCCAAAAGCTTTGCCAACTCTGCCCGGCTCCGGAGTGGTCTCGGGAGAGACCCTTCTCAGGGCTGTACTCAAACTCCCCTTTCTGGTGGCTTAAGCATCGCTTCTCAGCTTAAACTCGCGACTTTCTGCTTTGGGCGGGGTGAGGTTTCGCTGCGTCTGCATCCCGCTTTGCATGTCGATATTTGTCGGAGAGTCACGTCTTCCAGACAGCGGTGAGGTTCTTGGGAGACTTCGGTTTAGTGGGTTTTTCTTGTGTTGTGGGTATCATTATTGAGGGGACCACTCGCCCGGGGGTTTTGACTATTTCGGTTGTCTGTTCCTTGCCGTTGCTTGGGTTTCTCAGAAGCTTTGTCTCCTGCCGTTCGTCGGACACGTGGAATTCCAGAGCATAGGTGTCCTTTGCGGGTTAGTTTGGTTAGACACAGACGGGTTCCACTGGTTTGGACTGGTTTTATGCCCCATTTACCAGGGACACTCATCTATTTCTCCAGTTTAGGTCACCTCAGAGGGGAGTCTAAGAATAGAAGAGGAAACTGAACCGTCTCGCTTGGCCAACTGCCCATTCGCTGGTGTCGTGCAAAGAAAGTGGGCCCCAATCTCTGGGGGTGCTCATGCAACCTAACGCCTAGACTCCATGTTTAGTTTTTTGCCAGACAACCCTCTTTTTGTGGCGACCTCTTTTCAGGTGGGGGAGAGTATGACAACTGTCTCTGCTCCCGTGTTCATGTTTTCTCCGCTTTGCGATCTTCTTTGTTGAGCCGCCCGCCCAGCTTTAATGGGGTTCTGACGAGGAGGACCATTTCGCGGCCACTATGCTTGCTCATCCTTGCATGCCCTCTTTTGCATCACCGCTTTTTGCAAGCCAGAGCTGAAAGGTCAGCCCTCTAACCCATCCTTTGCAAGGTGAGCAAGGTCAGCGCTCGCCCGAAGATGGCCAATAAGGTTGTGGCTTTGGTTGGCTGGTTGGGGGGGGGGGGGGGTGTTGTTTGGTTCTGTTTGGGGCCCCTCTCTCCCGGCGGTACGGTGTGGCGGCCTCACGTGTCGGGTCTTGCGGGTGTCTCCCGCTTGCGGCGCTGGCTGGCTGGTTAACCGGCCTCTTCGGGGACTTTTCGGCTTGGGCGTCCCCACCGAGCGTCCGTTTGGGGGGCAGTTCTCCTACCGCGTCCTACTGCTAGGAGAAAGGACGCCCCGTGCTATCGCGAGCTTCAATCTGCCGGAGCCACTTTACTCGACTCACAGAAAGAGACAAAGAGTTTTTTTTCCTCTTTTTTTTCTTTTCTTTTTTTCCTTTTTTTTTTCCTTTTCTTTTTTTTCCTTTTTTTTTTCTTCTTTTTTTCCTTGTTTTTCCTTTTCTTTTTTTCCTTTTTTTTCTTCTTTTCTTTTTTCTTCCTTTTTGTTCTTTTCTTTTTCTCCTTTTTTTTTCTTTTTCGGCCGGTCCATTTGCTCGGCCCACCAGAAAAAAACCGAGGAGACCTTTTTTTTGGGGCCGGTCCACTCGGCGCAACGCTTCCCGCTGCCCATGAGGCGCTACGGGATGGAGGCGGCGCTCACCTCGCTGGTGCCGCCGGCCACGGGTTTGCTCGGGTCGGCCGGCGCCCCGGGCTTTTTCTTTGGGGATGGGTTCTGAAGGGACACCGAAGGGAGACAACCCATTTTTCTTTTTGAGACCGGGTGTTGCTGGGGATGTGATTTTGACATGAAAGCTACATCCCAGGGAGCACCCGTTCGGTGTTTTTTTTGGGGTTTCCCTTCTGAGACGAGTTGGGGTCCCTAGAATCATTCTGATTTCCTCTCTTGGGCCTGAAGCATCGCCTTTTGGATACCGTTCTTCTTTAAAGCGAGGCTGCTTTTGCCGGGGTCTCGTTGGAGGGATGTCGCCAGGTGGTGCCCTGCGCTAGCTGCGTTCACGTGGCCATCCCGGAGGTTCGCTTGGAGCAGGAGCACGGGCTGACCGAAATGACCCGACCCCCCTGGACACGTTCTTAGAACCTCACAGGGTTTCCTGAGTTTCCTATTTGGAACCTCCAAAAGTGGGAGTTTAGTGAAAGTGATCAACTTTTGAAGGACAGGTACTTAGATTCTTCTTGGAGTCTTGGAGGGTTCTGCGGACCGTGGTGGGTAGTGTCCGAATATTGCTCCTTAAGGAAAACCACTGCAAAAAGACGCCCATACATTGTGCCATGTGTCAGGGGCAGCGGGATGCCATCGTGGCAATGAAACCCAGGCAGTACCTGTTGGTAGAGGGCTCTGAGATGCGCTTTGATCATTGCAGAACAATCTGCAATTGAAGCGGCTAGTTCAAGTAAAGTGAGCACGGCTCAGCTGGTTTTTTTCACGCCTTGCAGCCTTTTAAGGGACAAATCAGGCCATGGCACAGGCATTGGGAACCGACACTCTCACTGAACAGGGCTGGTTGCAAATTGGGTGTGTCCTGTTGCGGGTATCCTTTTGAGGTTTGTTTTGAAGGGGAGGCAAAAGGAATAAAAGGCCACGACCTTTGGAGGGCCTAGGGTCGTTTGGAACACCACAAGACACGACTTTTGGTGGGAGCGTAAAATTCAAAATCACATCCACTTGAATTTTTCGCGCAGTTCAGATTTGGTTTTCGATCGCCTCCGATCGGGCGATCGGCCTAGGGAAGCTCACGAAACGTTGCTTTTTCAACCCGCGTGCGGGGAGGAGACTGAGGCCATCCCCGAAGAGGGCGGCGAGGTGAGTGTGGAGGCGCCGAAGAAAGAAGGGGTTCCATTTGGGTCTGCCTTTTTTAGGCCCCCCCCCCCACAAAACATGGTGGGTTCTGTTTGGTTTCCCTTTAAACCAATCCCAAAAAGGGTACCATCAAAAACGCCACAACTCTTTTGTGGAGCTTAAGGTGGACGCAGAAACCCAGGCGGTTGATCGCGAAAGAGCAACCGGCATTGCACAGTCGTGATAAGCAATCGTGAGGGTTTGTTTTGCTTGCTTTGCTTTGGTTGCCGTTTTTAAAGTGTGTTGTGCTGTTGTGTTGTGGTATTTTGGTTTTGTGTGGTATTTTGGTTTTGTGTGGTGTTGTTTTGTGTTGTTTTGTGCTCTGCCTATGAGCCTAGGTGTGTGTGTGTGTGTGTGTGTGTGTTTTCTCTTAATGGTAAACCGGGAAACCAACATGACAACCATCTTGGGGGTCCCCTGATATGTTTCACACCCACACACACACACACACCCATTTGGCTTTGTATCTGAAGGCATAGGCCTCTGCAGATGCGTGGCTTCTTGTTTCTTCGTGTAAGCCGTCAAGGGTTGCATAATTTCTTCACCCATCCGTTTTGTTTTTGTTTTTTTTTTCAACAAAAAAAACAACAACAAAACACAACACACGTGCCAATGCAGCGCCCCGAAACGTCCGGAAGCCACCGCGGATCCATTCCGTTGGCCAGAGGTGTGGGACCTCCAAAGGGTTGGGTTTACCCGTTCCATCCAGGGGTCCCAAATTTTGGGTAGAACGGATGTCTTTTCGAGGATTGGCGCTCCGATGAGCATCACATAGAGGAGGGCAAATTGAGGATGCAGTTGTGAGTCTGTGACGTGGTCTGTGAGTAGGTTCGAAGAATGGCGATCTGGACCCTTGGTGTCTAAACCTCCTAATCCTGCAGTTCGGAGGACCCCCTGATTCATAGTGGTGCACACCACCAACTGCTTGCGAACCGCGCGCGAAATTTTCCGCCGCCCTCCGCAGCTCGCAGGCCGCGGTTTTCATTTTTGGTCGGGCCGCCCCCACGCGCTTTGCAGGTGTCGGATCTCGAGACCGCGAGTCGGAGCCTCGGATCTGGCCGAAACCCTGCGGGTGAGGTGCCCAGCTCGCCTCGGATCGGAGCGGGGGACTTTGGAGCTTGGAGCTTGGAGTTGAACCCCCGGCTCTTGTGGCAATTTAAACCAGCCCCCGAAAGAAAGAAGCCAAGCTGGCTTTGAAGCCACAGTTGCTGGGAAGCTGCTGGCTTTCCCCCCAGCTTTGCGGGTGGGGGCCCAGATCGTCTCGATGGCTGGCCTTTCTGTGGAAGCAAAGCTTGCCGGTGCTCAGTAGGGAATGAGGGAATGACCCCTATAAACAATCCGAACTGGTGGTTTCCTTTAAGGGGACCAAAGCCTGGGTTCATTCCATTTCTCATTCCCTGACGCAAGACAGTTGCAGGTTTTGGGATTCCCGTTAAAGGAAACCATACGGCATGGTTTACAGGGGCCATTCCGTCAAGAGAAACCATATGGGATGGTCAGGGGCCATTCCATGTCTCATTCCCTACTCATCGCACGTCTCGCAAGTTTCTTCCGGTCGTGTAGCGGCGCCCCCCGCCCCCGCCGCAATCGACGCTGAGATGTGGACGTGGTGTGCCGCTTCCGGCATGCGGCTTCGAAGCTGGGGCCCATGTTCACCAAGCCTGCGCTGGTGCCGGCGCGCCTGGAGGCGGGGAATTAGGGAATTGGTGCGATCGATCAGTGGATCTGGGGAGTCTTTCTTTTTTTTTGGTGGACTTGGGGTCGCTTTTCTTCTTCTTCTTCTTCTTCCATCGGGGATGGGGGGATTCGGAGGAAAGTGGGGCAACCCAGGAAGTAACTAGTCCGATTGATCCGTGGATCTGGTCGTTTCTTTGTTCATGGGGACTTGGGGCCCCGATTTTCTTTTCGGGGCCAGGAATTGGAGGAAGTGGGTTGTGCACCCCCGGCTCCCCTTTTGGTCGTCCAACATGCCGAGTGGTTGACAGCAACTTCAGCGGTAGCACACCGAGGTTTCAGCTCGTCGAAACCAAGGTGAGCCACGTCCTCAAAACCCGGTTAGATGAAGGTTAGTAAGGGGCAGTCCCAGCCAGAAATAGTTGCGGATATCCGCCTTCTTAATTCTTTACATGGTGTTGGGTCCACCATTTTGATACCAGGTTTTGATTATGACAGGTGTTGGGCCCCGAGAGCCGGAAAGCTCGACCCCGCTGTGCAACGGAACTTCGAGCGTCAGGACTCCCACATCACCTGCAAGGCTCCGGACTGGCAGGGCCCTTGGTTCCGAGGGTTTCGCCTTAAAAAGGGGACCCCGAGAAGAGCCACCCACATAGGGAAGGCGATTTGGAACGCAACGAAAAGAGTCTTAAAATCGGGAGGTTTCCAGGCATGGGACACATATTTTTGGAGTTTAGAGGACAGCTTCAACCGTTAGAAATAGATGGCATTGGATTGGCTTTATGCCCCATTTACCAAGGGCCAATTATTCCAAAAGGTCACATGGCTTCAACCATTAAAATGGCACGGGTCTTGTGGGCAGGGGCGTTGATGCTGGGTTTTGCTCATGACTTTTGAGAGCGGAGTTTCGGTGACGGGGTCCCTCTCAACTTGTCCATCATGTTGTTACAGGTGGCTTACGGGGGAATCCTGGATTGATCAATCCCTGGTCAATGAGACTTTGTCTTGAACAGGTTGACCCAAACAGATGTCTGTTGTTAGAACCTCTAAGATAGCGGCTTTCCCTTTGGTTTTTCTTTCAAACCTCTAAAATGGGTAGCAACTCCAAACAAAACACACCAAAATCCGAAGGACGTATTGCCCTGCGATCTGAGTCTTCAAGCCCTCGCACGGACATGTTCCTCGAATGCTCGTTTGGAGCCGGCGCCAAGTCAGCTTGTTTTGAGCATTGGATCGGATAGTTAGGATAGAAATGGATGCGTTCCACGAGGTTTAGATTTGTTTTATTCCATTTACCAGGGCCATCCAGTTTTTCCAAAAGGTCATCCTATGGTTTTGCCAAGGCGCGTGTATCGCCGCACATTCCAGATCCACACTCCGAACGCTTTCCAGCATTCATAGAGACCAATCTTTCAGACGGGAACTCATTTGTTGAGCCCGATGCAGGTAGGGTTGTTTCCCTGTCTTTTTGAACAAGTAAGCTAGCCATAGGCTCCAGTGAACTGCAGGGACACCCTTCAAATTTCCAGTGGCGTTCTTTTTGCTGTCGGGTGCCCGAAGAAGGGTGCCCGTCTTTCCCACGCTTGTCCGCTGGTTCTCTGAAAAGTTGTATCCGTTGGTTGCTTCCCGGTTTACTTTTTTGGTTGGGGTGCTCCAAATCTAAACGTCAACGACCGCCGGAGGTCAGGAGTGTCTTCTTCTCTGGTGCACAGAACGCACGCAAAGCCCACCTGAAAAAACAAAAAACAACTTGGGGGTTTAGACACGGACGCACAGGCTGATGGGGTTCATCAGCATGGCTGAGACGAAAAACATGGAGTTCTCAAACGGGGCAGCCACCTGGGTTTGAAGTGGTACACCTCTTCCTCTTTTTGCGGCAACAATGAGTTCCACGGAAGCTGTGGAGGTTCGATTTCAGGTTGTGAGGGAGACAGAGACAACACCATGATTCGAAGGGGATATCAAGAGAGACATCCCAAAAAGAATGCAGCCATCCAGAAATCCATATGTGGGTGTGTCTCCCAATAGGCACATGAAGCGCCCGTGGCCCTGCCCGCCCGCAAGGAACACGTCCCTGGAGGGCGGCTTCGGCGTCCTGGCTTCAAAGCTTTGGGTCTGGGGCCAGTGGTTTAGCTTTGGGAGTCCCTTCAATCCACTACAAACTGTGGGTTCTCAATCAGAAGATGGTTTCGGTTTGGGTGGCTTTCCCTTGAACCACTTGGAGGATGACTTTGATCATGGCAGAATGGGGCCATTCTCTTGAACCTACCACTGCAGTTGGAGGGTGAGGTTGATCATGGAAGAATGGGGCCATTCCCTTGAACCTACCACTGCAGTTGGAGGGTGAGGTTGATCATGGAAGAATGGGGCCATTCCCCTTAACCTACCAACAGTGGCCCATGGTTGGGGAAATTCCAGCTTTCTGACACCTGCCAAGGACAGGGCGACTTTTCAAAGAGGCAGACAAGGGGATTCGGCAACCCTTGGTAAGGCTAGTCCCCGCCCTCCGCACTTCCCTCACTTCCCTCTCGAAGATGCAATAAGTAGACGACACATTCGTGCCCACACCACCCCAAATCCCGGGCAATTGCGAGGACCTGGTTGGGCGGCAGAAAAGCATCCTTTTGGTTGTCCTTTCAGAAACAAGAAGCACATGGCAATTACCCTCAAAAATGCCACACCCATACAGCCTGGCAAAAATGCGTCGAACAGCAAGTGACGTTGCGAGGCTGGATTTTTTGACCGCATCGCCCCGGAGAAATCTGTGGAGAATGAATGTTCCATACCTACAAAAGGTGATCGACCCTTTTGCTAAGTCCTGTAACAACCCAGCCTGGGAGTGGTTTTGAGGGAATTTCAGGGTAGGGAAATCCATACGGTGCGGCATGGTGCGGCCAATGCCTAAATGATTTGAATGGGTTTTGGCGGGAACGTTTTGCAACCACAATTTACTCATGATTGGGTAGTTTTGCACCGTTTTTATGGGTAGTTTTGAGAATCGGTCCACGTATGCGTTGGTCGATGAAACATATACGCCCAGCTGGTCGGTTTGTGACCTGTGCGCCACTGACAATGTGGGACTTCCTTCGGCTGCAGGCGGCGACCTCACCTACCGCAGGGACGAGGTGCGCCGGGACGCGGGGTGCAAACCAGATAGTTTGTTGCGGTCTTTACGTCGGGGGATCGAAGCAGAAACCAGGGTTTCTGAGCGGTGGTGCGAAATGGAGTTCGTCCGTCCACGGAATTTTGCAAAACACTCCAACCCAAACATTTGGAATGCTCGGACCACGTTGTTCAATACCGACTACCAGTTTGGCCTTTTATCTTTGGTAGCATCCATGGGTATTCTTCGGCAAACCATAGACCGATGCTTCGGCAAAACCGGTGCTTCGGTATGGAAGGGTGGGTCCATCCATGGTCTTCTTCGGCAAACCAAACAAGACCGATGAGTTGGTATGGATCACGATTCGATGATTCGGTCAATGGCCACGGGTCAACTCGGTGAACACCGCAGAGGCCTTCCTTCGGCTCCAAAGCGGTCTGCCTTGGCTCGGCTGAGCCGACCTGGACCTCACATGGGGCGGCTCAAAGACCTCGGGCCTAGGCCGAACCGCAGCTCTGAAAGTCTTTGTTTTCCATCTACCATACAGGTACCAGCACGTTTCTAAAAGAACAAAAACACACACACACACACAACACTGGGGCGCCGTTTTAGGGTACCAGTACCGTTTTTTCCTCAAACAAAAAACCCTGGGGTGCCATGTTGGGGTACCAGTACGGTTTTTTTTCCTTTATGAAATTTCCGGGGTGCCATTTTCGGGATGCCCATTTTTCTTTTGGAGCGACATGCTGGCATGCCTGCCATGGGAGGCCTGGTGGTGGCTGCTCGACTTGGCCCTGGACGGCGGCAACCAGTGGCGGCCAAAGGAGCCTCTCAAGGCGTGAGCCGGGAGCGCCTGGTGGGGCTGGGTGGCATCACCGGATGTTGGGTTTCCTTCATGGTGTGTGTGTCCGTTTTTTGTGGGGTGGATGGCACTGGATCTTTGGTTCCCTTCATGGGGCGTGTGTCAGGCTTTTTTTGTTGTACCGGCACCCAAGGTGGACATCTCGGCTTGCCTTTGTGGGCTTCCCTTGAAATCCTCCCAAAGAAAGGGTACCAACTCCACATATTCATTCGTGGGACCGGATCTTTGGTTCCCTTCATGGGCGTGTGTCTGTCTTTTTTTGGGGTTTGGACCGGGACCCAACATGGATGTCATTTTTCCTTTTGGTTCCCTTGAAACCCACCAACCAAGGGGCAAACGTGGGGAAGGTCAAAGCGCCGAGCTTTGGGTTGTCATGGACCCCTTGAAGGCTTCAGATGCACGGCAAGGCTATTGTCTTGGTGGGTTCTAGCCATAAGGTTTTAGGTTCCTTTTTTCATCTTTGGTTGTTTCTTGGTGGGTTCCTTAGGCTTTCTTTTTGGTTGTTTCCACTGAACTGCAAGTTAAGTTTTGAGCAGGGGATGTGGGAACAGCCCAGTTGAGGGATGGAGGAGGCGGTCAACGTCTGAAGATGGTGCTGAAGGAAAACCAAACGGAGAGTGGTACTGCTGCACCCGAATCTTGACAAAGGCCCATGGTGGAGAGCTTGTCAAGATTGTGGACAAGGCCCCCAAAGAAACATCTTCACTGAAAACCTGGGCGCCAGCCTTACGGGGGGGCTCCTAAAAGCGCGCTGTTGTTGCTCTTGATGGACCAAAACTCACACCCTGAGTTCCTGGACTTCATACTCTTTGGGTTTGAACAATTTTGGCGGTAGCAGTTCTTGGACCGATATGTTTTGGCCAATCCACTTTTGGAAGTGAGCGGCTTGGCCGGGTGTCCCGAAGCTGCCTCTTTGTGGGGTCCAAAACACCGGGGGGAAGTTGCGATCGCTTCCCGTTTGTCCGAACCGCATGGCTAAGCTTCAAAGTGTCGATTGCCGCAGAGTCAGAAGCTTGGAGCTTTGGGAGCGCTTGCTGGTGCTCAGTGGGGATACACCGCCGACCGCCGACCAACTCGTGCGAAGTGGATTTTGGAGCCATCCACGGTGCTTTTTTGTGTTCCCCTCGAGGCTCGCCGCCCGAAGGGGTGTTTCGAAAATTCAGGAACCCCTCTCAATGGCTTTCCCTTTGGGTTTCCCTTCAAACCAACCCAGGAGTTTTTTCAAGCTGAGAAACGTCGGTTATTTAAGCCACTGGCTCAAAACCGATTTGGGTAGATGCAGGTGAAGGTAGAATCCCCTTGCTATGGGTAGGTGCGGAATTCAGCCTTTTTGATTCTTCAAGGATGGTGGGTAAGACCAATTCAATATTGATCAGTTTTGATTATGCCCAATTGGAGTACCAACAGAAGGCTTCCTCCCACCAAAAACCAAGGTGCAAGTTCAGAGGGCTCGTTGCCAGGTGAACGTCACCCGGGTCTTTGTCACAAACCTGGCACCCAGCCACCCGGAGATGGAGATGGGGCGAGTGCAGGCTTTCAGACGGAACATCAGTTGGCCCGTTTTTCCGGGGCCATGTCTTTTGTCTTTCTCCTTTTTTGGTGTGGTGGGGGGGGGGGGAGAACAGAAGTGGTTGGCCTGTTTTCTGCAGACAGTTGTAGAGAACTCCACGAGTTTGGAGGCCCGGCTTCCTTCCACGTCGGGACGGTTCAGACACTCGGAACCCCCCCAAAGAAAAAACCCACAAACATGGTGGTTTTCTGATTGGCGCCCTTTGAACAAAAGCACCCCGCTGAGTGGCCTTGCTCGCTCTGTCTCTGTCTCTGTCTCTGTCTCTGTCTCCTTCTCTGTCTCTGTCTTTTTTTCTTCTTCTTTTTCATTTTTTTGTTTCTGTGCCGTCTCTGTCTCTGTCTCTCTCTCTCTGGGCAAAAGAGTGACTGTATAATACATATGACAGCTGCCTTCGGAAAAGTCCGAGAGATTGTTGGAACTGTGGAACAGGTCTGTTGCCCATGCTGGGTGAGTTTACCAAGACAAGGCGGGCCGACAGGAAACCGACCTCCGAACAATCAGTGGAACGTGTTGTGGCTACCTGGAAAATTTTGTTGCGATCCACACATCTATCCACACATCTCTGCCACAAGCACAGATGACAAGGCAGTAGTAGGTCTGTGGCTTACAACTCGGATTGCTTACCCTTCGAAATTCGGCTGAGTAGACCGTTGAGCTGCGCGATGGAACGCATCCACGCAAGCTTCCGCAACCACCAAACAACAACCCGATCAGGGTTCCACTTTTTGACCCCAAGATAGGCTTAAGCCCAGGTGTTCTCCTTTTGAGAGGAATGAACCACTGGAAATCTCCAGTCTGGGATAAGCAAGTGGGTTCCTCAAACCGCTGCATGGGTCCGAATCGGACCAACCCGCATAGGTCCGGCCGCACTGAGGCGAGCTTATCGTCTTGCCCCCGTCCAGGAACTGGAGCGTGGAGGATGGCCTTGTCATGGAAGCAGATGGACTTGGCGGCAAAAGGGTCCCTCTCCGTGATCCTTTTGTTTGTGAGGCTTGTTCAAGACGGAGTAATTGATGTTTGATGTCAGAGGGTGGTCGATCAAGACCTGGTGTGAATTGGGACCTTCAAACCATGACTGTGTCTCTCGCTCTCTCTCTCTCTCTGTGTCGTGCATGGAGTGTGTTGTGCATGGTCTGTGTGCAAGCCCCACATCTCACGAAAATCACACGATGCCACGCCAAGATCCCGGTCGGTCGGCTGTGGCACTTTTTGTGGCACGGGTCAGGAGCCGGTCAACTCCACGTGCCTGGAGCCCCATCACTGGGCGAGACGGCGCGGCAAGGATCTCTTTGGTCGACTTCTGGCTGTCAACACCGGGGAACGCCCAATCCATCGACCGGCCGGTGGCCATCGTATTATGTTTGGCTGTTTGCCGTTTTCAACTTTGGCCCAGAATAGGATCCCTGCTTTTGATTGAGAATCACGGGAAGCGACAATGCCGGTCAGACGGTGGCAAGCAAGGCTTTTGCCCGCGGGCCTTGCGAAAGGTGGGAATTTGTCGACAGGGATCCAAAAGTTGTGGTCTTGCTTTTGGTTTCTCACACCAACTTTAAACCAACTTGAAGAGGGTGCGATCTCAAAAGCACAAACATAGGTTTCTCACAGGGGCTTTGAGTCCCGTGATTTTTTCAGGCAAGCGGCAAGAATATCAGGTAGGTCCATCTTCCGAGGCTGGTGGTACAACCGCACCTCGAAGGCTGCGGGGGGGGGGGGGGGGAGAGCTGGAGGGACAAATGCGATGAAGGATGGCAGTGCGAGGATTTTGTCCCCGTTTAACCGTTATTTGCAGTGACTGCACATTGCCTTCTGTTTCGCGTTTGCGCAAGCGGGTTAGACGCTGTCTTGAGCAACGGTTCACGGTTCACCCATACACTCCACTCCAAAAAATGGGCCACTCCAAAGAAGACCCCACCCCCCCAAGCGGAGACTACGGCCCACGCATTTTTGAACAGCGGAACGCCAACTCCGGGGCGTTCCATTTAGGATTTAGCCCCATGTCGGTTCCCTAACACCAGCCCACGAAAGAAAGTGATGCCATGCCCTTTGAGAAGCCAAGGAGCACAGTTGCAGAAAGGGCTGGCTCAAAGAAACGCCTGGTTGATCAGCGGGGAAGGTGCGTGCAACGAATTTTGGAGAGGGTCTGGAACACTTTTTGGGGGGCAACACCCTCAAGAAATGGTCCATTTGCTTTGAGTCCCGTGAAACAAATATGTCCAGAAAGGATAGAATCCTTCAAAAACCAAACAATGGAAAACACAAACAGTTCTTCAGCAAGTGGAAGAAACGCAGGGTTTCATCCAGAGTCGAACCCCTCAACCAAACCTGCCTCACCCCGCTTGCGGGTTGACGCGACTTGCATGACCCCACTTGGCTTTTCAAGAAAGCTCCACCCTCCTTTTGGCCGGAACCGGGTTTCAGGAAAGCTACCGGTTCCCCCCCTCCTTTTGGCATACCTTTTCCAAGTAAAACTTGTTCCCCCCACTCCCCCCCCAACCCCCCCCCCCCACCCCTCATTCATTCCCCAGCCTTCACCAACCCCCCCCCCCCCCCACCCCGCCCGCTTGGCACCGAACATCGGAGGCGGTGAGCGTGGCCACGGGGCCGCTGGAGACCGCCGTGGAGCACTTCGCGCCGGCCATGCCGGGGGTCCGGGGCCCCGCTCCGTGCACTGCGCGCGCCTCGCGCTGCGCCGGGCGGGGGGGGGGAGGAGTTGGGCCGTGAGAATTTTTGCGAGTTGGAACCCACCTGAAGAGTGATACGTGGACCCAAAGATGCAGCCAAATATATGCGGTTTTGATGGGGATGGTCTTGGTGGAAAGTTGGGAGGGGGGGGGGGTCTTTGCAAGGGGACAGTCTTCCCAACCCCAACATGTTCCACTTCCTCGGGTGGCCCTTTTGTGCCAATAGAATCCCCTTGAACGTGACAAGGCTGATTCAGTATTCTGCCGGCTTTGCAGTGGAGCTAAAGCCTGGGCTCGGGGAGATGAGGGATGTGACCGGATGATGGGCGGTGCATGGATGTGTGGGTGTGTGGATGTGTCATTTTTGAGATTTGGATGGGTTAGGGTGTTGGGGTGGTTGTTCAGATGTTCATACATTTGTCCTGTTTTTGTTGTATTTGAAGGGACACTGACACATTTTTTTTCGGGTTGAAAGGGACACCAAAGGGAAACCAGGTCCATGTTTGTGTTTTTGTCCAAAGGGCACAGCTTGACGCCCGTTGGTGAGTGGCCCTTTGGGCTTTTTGCAACCAGCGAGGATGGCACCCTGGTGTGCAATGACAGCACTGGCAGAGGCAGAGGCCAGGCTCGGGAACCGGTGGCACCTGGGCCTTGTTTTCCAAACTGCGGCGTTTCCTGCGGATAGGGGCCTCCCATGTCTGTGTGTGTGTGTGTGTGTGTGTGTGTGTGTGTGTGTGTGTGTGTTTGCTTGCTTGCTTGTTTGCTTGCTTGCTTGTTTGTTTGTTTGTTTGTTTGTTTGTTTGCTTGCTTGCTTGCTTGTTTGTTTGTCTGTTCTGTTCTGTTCTGTTCCGTTTTGTTTTGCTTTGTTTTGCTCTGTTTTGTTTTGCTTGTTGTTTTTTCTTTGTGTTTTCTTTTGTCTCTGTGATTTGTGCGTGTGCTCCAGGCGAAATACGAGGTTCTCCAACCTGGAAGCATCCCAGTGGCAGAGTGTAGCCCTCGCGCAGAGTAACATCGAACCCCAACCATCACCATTTCGGGGGCGGAGGGGGGCCGGGGGTCTTGTTTTTGATACCCCTTGAAGGTGGTTTTAACGGGAGACCCGGAGGAAAACCGACTTCTTTGAGAAAAGCACCCATCCGTAGAGGAAGCTCCTTTTGGGGGAACCCCCCGAAAATGTGTCGGGGACCCTTGCGAGCTATGGGGGGGGGGGAACCCCTTGTGCCCATGTTTTCAAACACGTGCAACTGGCATGGCCTCGCCGAGAAAGGGCGCGGATATGGAGTTAAAGCTGACGGAGGGTGTGGATATGGAAAACCCAAAAGGTTGGGGACCCCTCAAAAGGAGCTTCTGCGAATGGTGGTTTGGATTCCATGTGAATCTGTAGATTGAAGCTGTTTTACATCTCAAGGTTGATGGGTGTGTCATTTTTAGGGTGACCCCCAAAATGTCTTTGCTTTTCCCTTCCGGGTTTCCTTACACTGCATCCCCAAAATGGCTTCGGTACCAACTCCAAACACCCACCCACCCAGATTTGTGGACCAGAACCAACAACTCTCAGCTTTCAGGGCTTTTTTTTTTTCTTTTTCTCTTCTCTTTTTCTTTTTTGTTGGGAGGGGACACACACAAATGTGGATGGACCTAGCTGGAAGCCGCGCGTTTTGGGGGGTGGGGGCTTTGCGGTTGGGTTGGATCCAGGCTTAGAGCCCGGCTCGAGGTTCGCTCACGTGTCGCTCAGGTTCCCCCCCCTGCTGGTTTTTTGGGATTGGTTGATCTTGGTGGTTTGGATTGCCCCAGGTTTGGATTGGTTTAACTTGGTGGCTTGGATTGCCATGCGGTTCCTTAGCCTTTTCGCTCTTGTCCGTGCTTAGTGGTAGTTTTTCCATTCCACCCACGAAAAGTGAGTCACTCTTAGCGGGGGATCTGAGGGCCCAGGTTTGGATGAAATCGTCCGCAAGCGATATCTAATCCCGCGGAACCAATCCGAGGAAGGCGGCCTGCCACTGCAAGGGTGACTAGTTGAAAATGCTCAGCACGGGCGCACTGGAGGAACGGGGCATTGCTCCCTTGCCCAACAACCCATCAATGGAACTGTCATAAATGTTGACCTGTCTCGCAGTCGAGGCGCTTGGGTCGTGCGTCCTCTGAATTTGCGTTCTTCTGACGCGCGGGTCATTCAGCTATGTCCATAGAACGCGCTCTGGATCCATACCTCGGAGGACGTGGGACAACCCAATTTCAACCACAAAAACCAGGCCAACCACATTCTCCACGTCTCGGGGAACAAACCATGCGGATAGATGACATGTAGAACCTCTGGCTACCTTCAAAGTTGGCAGAATGAAGACGGGCTCGCAACCAGAGACTCCCAGTTGTTTGGTGGCACCCTTCTTTCTGTTTTGATGATCAACCCCGAAACGGGTCCCCTTTTCCCAGGGTTACTGGTTGCAACAATATGTGACTTCTTTGGAGAAGCCAGACGCAGCTTCTCGCGAAGGCCAGCGCTAGAGTTGCTTTTGGCGCTCTTTGCCTTCCGCTTTCAAAAAGTCAAGAGCGGCCCTCAATCAACGGCGAATGTATCACCAGATCATGTTTCCAAATGATACGCCGGTGTTTGCCACTTCTGATGGAATTTGTGTCTCTTGAAGCCAGCTTTACTAGCTTCCGGCCATCTCAGTGCGCTCAACCTCAGTTGCTTGAGGGTTCTGTCGGTCAGGCAGCACTTATGACGTGCACGTCGATGGCTTGGACCTGGCGGTTCCAGTGTACGACTCCAGGCGCTTTGAAGGGCGAATCCAACGAATCGGAACACCGCAGGACAGTGGTTCCTCCATTTCCCTTTGGGAACCTCCCAAAGTGGGGATCGATCGTTAGGGAAACCACCCGTGAGTTGATCAGCTTTTGATTTGGAGCCCCGAGAGCACCGAGCCCTGGTTGATGTGGGGCTGCCTTTGAGTGGGAATCCGGGTCACGGTCGCACCATTGAAGCTCAAGGCTGTCCACACCAAGTCGGTTCCAGATGGATCATGTACGTGTCAGTTTAAGTGTTCTAAATCTGGGTGGTTCAACCAGCCGCCCGGTTCAACTTAGGGTTCTCGTCGTTTTTAGTTGGTTTAGTGGTAGTTTCCACTAAACCACTAAAAGTGTGATTGACATTTAGCAGGGGATCTGAGCAGAGCCCAGTTTGGGTTGGTGAAGCGGACAGCGAAAGGGAGCCATTACCATTTGTTAGTGGGCCGATCCGTTGTTTTCGAGAACACCCCCCACTCAGTTGCCCTCAAAAAAGGTGGTTTCCTTTTTGGCTTCCCTCCAAACCCAAAAAAAGATGGTTCCCCCCCAAGTAAGACAAAACCCCGCCTGCGTCATTTGGCCGGCTGCGAAGTTTCTTTTTGCCGCGAGTCCAGCTGGTGGGTTGGCTGCCGGCTGCCTCTTCGTTCGGATTCCTCAAGCCGGAGGCTCTTGATGTTTTGGTGTTTGCTCCTTGCGACCTTTGGTCCCTTCCTCCCACAAAGATTGACAGAGCAGCTGGAGGGTACCAAGAAGATAAGTTTGGTTTTTAGGGAACCCCGGTGCTATGTTGGTGGGAGGGATGGTATCCTTTAAACCATCAGGTAAGACGTAAAGGTAAACATCCAGGCTACTCTCGCGCCTGGTGAACTAGAAGCGTCGAGCCATGATGTAAGTTGATCGACTTGCTGCCTTTTCAGGAGGGCCATGGGACGTGTGCTCTCTGCTGGGGTGATACAAAAATGATGGGGGGTCCCAAAATCAGGAGCCTCAAGGATAGCGCAGTTCCTTTTTGGCAGTGTTCGCCGACCGGCCCTCGTGTAGCCCCGCAAGCCCGAAGCAAGCACGTTTGCGGCCTTCCATGCCATTGGGGAAGTGGCCCTTTTTTGGGCCAAAAACCGTGTAGCGTTTCAGGATGGACATTTTTAGGGGGTTTTAAAAGGGGTCAACGCAGATTTTTAGGTACCAATGGAATTCCTAGGGGAAGTGGGACCCCCGGGGTTCTGTTTTTTTTTTGGCCAGGTCGCTGCGGCTGAAGGGTAAGTCCCTCTGGAGCGAGGCGGGGCTGGAGGCTGTGGGTGGGCAGGTCCGGTGTTGCCGTCGCATGGCATGCTTGGTGCGGCGGCACCTCAGGATTATGCTTGGCGCGGTGAGTTGGCCCTGTCTTTTTTTTTGGGGGGGCACTCCCGTTTCGAAGAAGCCAGAAAGCCCGGAGCAGGTCTGGGCCTGTGTTTCGTTTTTTTTCTTCTTTGTTCTGTCTTTTTGCGGGGAGAGGATGTTGAGATGATATCTGTTGCAAACCCGGCCTGTCAAGCAATGGGGGCCCTATGCACAGACAAAGTTTGAGGACTTAATATTTCCAGGGGTTGATTCCCATTTGGAAGAAACAAGCAGGTTTTTGAAAAGAACAATGGTTGAAAAGAATGGGGAATCAACCCCTAGAATACTTGTTGCATCATGTTTCGTTCCCTTTGCATCACCAGCAGTCGGGCTATCCGCATGCTCCTTGGATTCTAGATTCCCGTGTCGGACTCTAGCACGCCCCCCCCTTGAAATGTCGAAGGTAACCCCACCTAGGTCCCCCAGTAGTGCTCTTCTCACCCCTTTTTGGGGGAGGGTTCCCCTAAAATCTGCACAGAACAGTTGGTACCAACTTTTTCTAACCTCTCGAATCTGGAGGACCTAGGAAGGAAAGACCCCAGAGAGACAAAACCAAAAAGACCCATGTGTGGAAACCTGGTTGAACTTGTGGGAAAACCCGGAACAACCTCCGAGAATCTGGAGGACCTAGCCACTCAAGGCTTGAAGTTGCCCTCGCCTTCCTTAGGATCCGCCCCGGGAGAAGCCGCCGAGCCTCCACCGCCAAACGTGTGCCAAGACTCGGCATGCTGGTTCCCAGCTGAAAAAAAACCGCTGAACCGGGGCCGCTTTTTTTTGCTGTCCTGAAAAGGGGGGGGGCAACTCCAAATGGTTGACGTCCTTCTTTTCTTGAGCATCCTCTTAACCGCTGTACAAAATGGGGGGGGGACTCCAGATTTCTGCTTCCCTGCCCGATCTCCGACCTCCCGAAGGTGCCTCGAAGTCGCGTTTTGTTTCCCCATAGGCCCGTTTGGAGGCGAGGCAATCTCAGATGAGCTCGGTGCGAGGCAATCTCCAAACAAAGCCTGCAAGCAAGTTTGACGCCTCACGAAAAAGGACTCAGACAGCTTTGTGTTTCCGAAAGTAGGCAACTCCGTGCTTGGTTTCCCTTCAAATCGGCCAGATGCTGTGAGAGCTATCAATTCTCAGGCTTGGGGCGAGGCGCTGACAGGCCCGGAAG